GGTTTGGAATCTTAAAATATTCCAGTGCTAGAGAACAACGGAATTCTTATTCTTGTAATTCGACGTTGTTACAAATTCAAAATTGAATATCTTAGTATCTAATACAGCTAGCAATACCTTATAAGAGCATTTTAAAAGTTCGGATTCCTACTTTCCGAAATTTTATATAGCAATTATGTCCGATAACTTTCTTCAAAATGGCGGCTGATGAAACGAAAGCAAACACAATTGGAAAATAATGGTCCGAGTTTGCGACGACATAAGGCGAAAGTCAAATCTCGCAACTGGATAAAAAATATGTGATGGTACAGTTTCCTCTTTAAAATGCTTTTTTAACCATGTCGATAAGATGATTTTTCGCCGAATTATTCACATTTGAAGAAAAAAGCAGTGTTTTACTTTAAATGCGAATTATTCGGTGACAAATCATCATATCGAAATGATTAGAAAAACATTTTAAACAGATTCTGTACTATCACATGCTTTTGATCCGATTGCGTTACGGCATTTGACTCCCGCCATGTGCCGTGGCAAACACGGACAAATTTTTCAATTTCGCATGCTCTCGCGTTGCCATCCGCCATTTTCAATAAATTTTTCTCGCTACATTGAAAGAAATCGATTCTCTAATTAGAGATTTCAAGCTTTATTTTCATTTTTTATAGACCTTTTTGTCTTCATTATTTACCAAGTTATGATCATTTGAAATTTAATAAATTTTTTCCACGTTTCAAGTGGCACCGCTTTTTCTTGGAGTGAGTATATTAAAGAATATCATGACAAATTTTAAAATATCTCAAAAAATTTTTAAGCAAAAGAAGCTTTATTATACGAGTTGTTATAAAAGGTGTCTCAAAATGATCTGATTTTAAATTGCATTTTAAATTGCGCGCCGTTTTTTTTGTGGCGAATATAGAGTACTAATCTTTGACAACTGGCATCAGGAAGTATTGAGGTTTAGTCATGAAGAATTACACGATCGAGCAACGCATAGAAATTGTGAAAATTCACTACAAAAATGGTGAAAATTTTGCAGAGACGGTTCGAAAAGTCCGCACGTCTTTTGGTTATCATAACGCACCATCTCGCAACACTGTGGTGCATTTAATAAAAACATTTGAGGTTAATGGTTCAATTCTGACCGCGAAAAGCAGTGGCCGTTCTCGTACCGGTCGGTCGAATGAAAACATAGCCGCAGTGAGTGCGAGTGTTGACGAAAGTCCTTCCACCTCGATTCGCCATCGTGCTCAGCAATTGGATATTTCAAGATGCTCTGTGCAGCGAATTTTGACGAAAGATCTGTATTTGCATGCTTACAAGATCCATTTGACATAAGAACTGCAACCAGCAGACCATGCGCAGCGCCGTACATTCGCCAATTGGATATTGGAGCATCAACAAATCGATGGTGATTTTTCGAAAAGAAAATCATCTTCAGCGATAAGGCGCATTTTCAACTTAATGGCTACGTGAATAAACAAAACTGTCGAATTTGGGGGACCGAAAATCCAAAAGTGGTCCAACAGCTTCCCATGCATCCACTACGAGTCACTATTTGGTGCGGATTTTGGGTTGGAGGAGTGATTGGGCCGTACTTTTTCGAGAATGCTGCGGGAAATGCGGTTATCGTCAATGGTGTTCGTTATCGTGACATGATAACCAACTTTTTATGGAATGAATTGAACGGCACTTGGAAGACATTCTTTCAACAAAATGGCGCAATCTGCCACACTGCGGACGAAACAATGCGGTTATTGCAGACGAAGTTTCATGGTCGTGTCATTTCACGCCGCGGCGATGTGAATTGGCCACCAAGATCGTGCGATTTGACGCCATTGGACTTCTTTCTTTGGGGTTTTCTGAAAGGAAAAGTTTATGCCAATGATCCACAGACCATTCCGGAGCTCAAGGAAGAAATTAGATGCACCATTAATGAAATTAGTCCTCAATTATACCAAAATGTCATTGAAAATTTTGTCAAAAGAATGAACGTTTGCAAACAGGGTCGAGGCGGCCATTTATCGGATGTTGTGTTCCACACATAACCTCCATGTTTGTACCTTATATTAAAATAAAAACATTTGTACTTTTCAAATAAATAATATGTTTTATTAATAAATTAAAATGTCAGGTCATTCTGAGACACCCTTTAGGTAGTTCTGAAAACATCTCAACAAGGCGTCCCGTCGCCACCTAGAACGCTCTCCTTCTTTCATAGTGGATCCCCCCTTCGACGCGCTGCAAAAACGTGTCCAAGCGCCCGGGGACAGCCAAAATATGGCGTCGACGCCGGGGCTTATTTGTATGATTTGCACCGGATAAGGAGGGGCAACGGTGGAGGCCGGCATACATGGACAGCAGATCTTAAAGGATAGCAACCTTTGACTTTGAGAGACCACCAGCTTGTACTACTAGGTACAAGTAACAATGCCTCTCTCTGTAGTCGCCGTGCGCTCGGGATAGCACTAGAGGTGTCGCTTCCGAACGACATCTCTGAACGTTATCTAGGGAGAGGAGAGTGTCGTGAGCGTGGAGCGTCAGGTAGCTCAATGGTTTAGAGCAGTCGCCCGTCAAACGAACGTCTCGGGTTCGATTCCTGGTCTAGCGACTACCGCTCTCGATATTTTTCTCTCTTCGGAACGAAAATAAGATGCAGGTCCCGAACGCACGGCGTCCTGTCGCTACTTAGTATGCCCTCCTTCTTTCATGGTATAAAATATATAGTTATAAGAGTAAGTATTTTAAAAGATTGTGGGTCATGTTTAAAAAATTCCATTTGACTTTGTTCGGACCTTGGAAATCAAAGGTTATCCTCGTTATTCAAGGTCAAACTGACAAGATCAGTAAATCATTTTAAATCCTATAAGTTTTATCCGAAACACTTTTCTATAAAACTTATATTTTTCGAGACTTCTCAGGATTTCTATACTTTCGTTTCACCCTATATAAATCGAGTATATTTCATTTAAATAGTTTTAAATGGTTATAAAGTGATAAATCATGCTCCTGTTCTATCATCAATCAGTTATAATACTCTGCTGGCAGATCCTATTATATTTCTGCTAAGTTGTTCATAAAATTTATAATACATGGGTAAAATCAGCTGCTCTAAATTTGGGGATATTTGAGTATTTCGAATGAAGTTTAATATAATAAAAATCATTAATATGAATAGGCAATTTACTAATAATAGTTCATATGTGAGCAAAAAAGAAATGTTACAATTAGTAACGAGCACCGTGAATAGCTCTGCCAATTTCTAACTGCTAAATTTTTGCATCAAACTTGACACATTCATGTTTTCTTCATCGCTGATTATGAATCTGAAATCAAATTTCAGAAAATCATGATGGCAGATTCAATATATTGTAGTTACTCAATTTTATCAGTTTTTATTACAATATTTATTAAGATTGGTATTTTCATTTAATTTTAAATAAAATCTTTTTTATAAAAGGTTTTTTGAGTTTATAGTGACAAACCCAGGATTGAAAGAACAATGGGTAAAATGTATTGATTTTGGCTCATCGTTGGGAACGAACGAAACACATCATTTTGATTTTCTGAACACGGTACCGTCGTTAGTTTTCTTCTAGCCCTCTAGACCCCTAGCCTAATGCCCTATCTTTTGTTAACTTATTGACCATTGAAAATTTCAAAATCATCAAATTAACAAAAGTTAGGGTACTTTGTAACAATATATTCTTGAGGCCAAATAGAGTAAAAATATCTGGTACTATTTTTTCTTCCGATAAATAGTTAGCGAGATATCGTAAGTTAAATAATAAAAAAGTTACCGAGTTTTCCTTAAATATTTTCCTCAAAAAATATTAGGCAAATAAAAAAATGTTTCAGACAAATGTTGTTAAATTAATTAGTAAAAAAAGATGATAAAAAATTGGGGTTTCTGTTCTGTTTAAAAAAGTAATAATCAGTGAATATCTCGAAAGTGACGCCATCTATAAACAAAATGATATAGTTGTTATATATCCCCTTTGAAACCATACAACTTTTGTCTGAAACATTTTTGCCTAAAATGTCGCGTTTACAAAAAATCAAGTGCTACTGTGACACCGTATATATTATTTGTTAGCAAATTTTGCATAAAAAGAGAACACCTTCAACTATTAAATCGAAAATATTTCTAAATCGAAAATCTAATCTGTTTTCAGCTAATTTAGCTAATACACGAGTTTGTAATAGCTTCAAAGTTTGCGCAAAAACTTCCCGGACCATTCGGTTATTGGATGATAAATCCTTGGATTTGAACATGTTCCCCAGGGTTTAGAGGAAAACTAACGACGACATTATATTCAGCAAGTCAAAATCCTATAGAAATGATGTGTTTTGTTCGTTCCTCATGATGGACCAAAATTCGTACGTTTTACTTATTATTCTTTCAAAATTCTAAATGGCAGATTCAATATAGCAACTCCAAGTTAATTTTTTTATTCCATTATGGAAAAAATTATATTTGCCATGTTCATGTTTTTTGAGTTACTGTTGATGAATACAATCGAAATTGCAAAATCTGAAATGGCGGATTCAATATGGCGGCTTCTAGTAACGGTATTCCATTATGGATGGACCTCTATTATTAGTGAATGAAACATATTGAAGAAAACTATTCTTTGCCGAATGGCTTGGATTTATGATAGTTATCTACAACCAAAATAATAAATATACTGAACTTAATATATATCTATAATAGAATATCAATCACTTGAAGCTGCAATATTTAAATCCGCTACTTTGAATTTTGAAATTTTGGACATGGATTCATCATCAGCGCCTCAAACAAATCCTTAGAGATAAGATTCTATGTAAATAAAAAAAAACGAAATTATTTGCTCTCAGTTTTGGCATAAAATATTAATTTCAAGTCTACTATTAAACTGGTTAACAAGGAAAAGTATATAACTCTATTTACTACAGTGAAAGCTGAAATAATTTAGTTTTACTAGTGATGTTATATGAAATGATTATATTTGTTATAGTACCTGAGTATGTCCTCCCCAAGCAGCAGCTCTGAGGGCAGTCCAGCCATCGCAATCGGCATGATCTACTTTTGCACCAGCGACTAAGAGGACACGTACTACATCTGCATAACCATGTCTAGCAGCTAAGTTTAGTGGTGTTTGTCCATGTCGATCAGCCGTTTCTAATTTTGCCTATAAATAAATAAGAAAGTTAATAAAAAACCGGCTTAATAATTTTATCAAATGAGGCGATAGCATAAAATACGTATATATTTAAAAATTAACTAATTTCAAATGTGACTATACTCACGTAGGAAACAACAAAACAAACATTAAAATGTATTTCTAAATAGTTTAGGTTTAGGTTTAAGTTTAGATTTAGGTTAAATTAGGTTGGGTTTAAAAGTGACCGCGGGGAAATCAATCTGCACACTGGAGGTGGCAAGTGGAGTGCTGAATTTAACTTCATTTTCTGAAATGTGCAAGCCGAGGGCTACCGTGAGGTTTTAGTCAGCATAACCTCGCTTCGCTTCCAGGAGGATATAATGGGGGGAAAGGGAGGGTGAATGAAAATTCCTCGAAAACAGCTACTGGTTGACGGGGACGAATCTATAGGCCTTTCCCTACAATAATTTCCGTCGTTTCTGACGTATCTTTCTTGCGTTTCCTCCGCATCCAGAAGAGTGGTGGGAAGGAAAGGAAGCGGACTAGCCTGATCTGTCATCTATCGTTAAGTATCGGAGCAATGGCAGCGCCTTCCCAACCTCGTCCCGACACCGCAATGTTGGCAGACATGGGAGGAGTCGCTTACTCTTTCCAAAGAGTTTTCTTGCCGCTTAAAGCTGCAGACGAGCACGGCTGAGGGATTACGTTTGTCCTTGCAGCATGAGAGAGGCTGCTACAACGATGTGACTCCGTTACGACATTGAATTGAGTGGATTGGGAGGAAGCTGTGTACATTCCCACATACGAAAACGTAATTGATGAGGGAGCGTCCCAGAATCATTCATAGCTCACCAGAAGTAAACTAATGTGTACTCTTAGCCGATTATAAATATAATTATTATGTGTTAGGCGCTTGAATTAATTCTCGCTGTTTTTTGTAATAAAATCTCATTATTTCAAAAGAATGATGAGTCAACAGTTAGCAAACGTTTAAAAGCAATGGGAATGATCCAGAAGCTAAGAAACTAGGTCCCACATGAATTGAAAGAAAGAGATATTGCGAAATACCAGGTGTATGCATAAGTTTTTTCTGGTTTTTTGGTACAAAAAAACACGTAATTTTCAAGGGAAATTAATTTTTGTTTTATTCAAAATATTGGCCATTGGCTTCTACACATTTCGCCCATCTTTCAGGTAACTTATGAATACCATGCCAGAAAAACTGCTTGTCTTTTGCGGCAAACTATTCGTCGAGCCATTTTCCAACTTCCTCGAAATTGCTGAAGTGCTGCTCTGCGAGCGCGTGCCCCGTTGATGCGAAGAGGTGATAGTCAGATGGCGCCAGGTCTGGCGAATACGGCGGGTGCGGAAGGATGTCCCATCCAAGCGATTTCAAGGTTTCTTTCACTGGTTTTGCTGTGTGAGACGGCGCATTGTCGTGTAACAAAATCACTTTGCCATGTCTTCTGGCCCAGTCCGGTCGTCTTTCGATTAATGCGTGGTTTAAATTAATCATTTGTTGGCGATAGCGTTGTGTATTAACGGTTTCTCCGGGCTTCAAGAGTTCATAATACACAATACCGCTCTGGTCCCACCAGACACAGAGCATGGTCTTCTTGTCGAAGCGATTTGGCCTTGGTGTTGAAGGACCGGCTTCGCCAGGTGAAAGCCACGATTTTTTCCGCTTCGGGTTTTCAAAATAAATCCATTTTTCCTCACCCGTCACAATTCGATGAAAAAATGATTTCCTTTCGTGGCGTTGAAGCAGCACTTCACAAGTGACTTTGCGATTTTCCATTTGACGTTCATTTAAATCGTGTGGGACCCATTTACCGAGTTTATTGATCTTCCCCATTGCTCGTAAACGTCTGCTGATTATTTCTTGTGACACATGTAATGCTTCTGCTAATTGCCGTTGAGTTAGAGTTGGGTCATCATCCAATAACTCCTGCAATTGCTCGTTTTCGCATTTTTGTGGTCTACCAGAGCGCTCACTGTCTTTCACATTAAAATCACCACTTTTAAATTGTCGAAACCATGTCTCACATGTTCTAATCGATGGAGCGTGTTCACCATATGTTTCTACCAGCAAACGTTGACTTTCAGCAGCCTTTTTCTTTTGATTAAATAAGAAAATGCGTGCCGCAAATGTTCTTTTTCAGGCACAAAACTCGACATGATCACTGAACGATAAAACAAAGACGCTAGTTTTTGGCGGACTCAACTTGTGTATGTTTGTAGTTTAATGTCAGACGAACAAAATGACGTATGTGTGAAATTAATACGCTGCGTACTTTTCGCTGGCGCCATCTCTTAGTTAAACCGGAAAACACTTATGCATACACCTGGTATATAGCGTGGGCCCTCCGCCTCCCCAAACCTGCACAGATGCTGGCCCGCTGTCCAGGGGAGGGGAATTTTCCCCTCCCCAGAAGATGGGCTGTTAATCGACTGGATTCGGACAGGTTTCGGGAGGTCGTCCTTGCGGCCACCTGGCACCTAGACGTGGGGCCAGGTGAGTGGAACCCCAGCCCCGCGGATGGGGCTGGGGAAATAGTGGGCATCGTGACGTCAGCATGCGACGTCGCGATGCCCCAATCCCACCCCCGCCTGCGCCGGGCCATGTACTGGTGGACGGAGGAGCTGGAGGCTCTCCGGGACTCCTCCGTCCGCGCCAGACGCGAATACTATCGGGCCCGGCGACGAGGCGGGAATGCCACAGGGGCAAAAGAGGGCTACCTGAGTGCCAGGAAAGCCCTCAAGGTCGCCATCGTCGAGGCCAAGCGAGCGGCCTGGGAGCGGATGGTGAGCTACCTGGACGACGATCCGTGGGGGCGCCCATATAAAAGGGTCATGGGAAAGATCCGACCATGGGCGCCTCCACCAGCGGAGGTGTTAGACCACCAGGCCCTCAAGGGGCTCCTGGATGCCCTCTTTCCGAGGGCAGAAGGGGCCTCCCCCGAGATTCCGACCCTCCTGTTGGGGGAGGATGACTGGGACGAGGGCCTGGCGGTGAGTCCAGAGGAGCTCACCGCGGCCAGGAAAAGGCTTGGGGCCAAGGGGAAAGCCCCTGGTCCCGACGGGATACCTGGCCGGGCCTGGGCCCTCGCCCTCGGCGAGGGAAGCCTGTCCGAAGCCACGCGCAGGGTATTTAGCGGGTGTCTGAAGGAGGGGGTATTCCACCCAGAGTGGAGGAGGGCCAGATTAGTCCTCCTCCCCAAGGAGGGCAAAGCACCCGGGAGTGCGTCGGCCTATAGGCCAATATGCCTGCTGGACGAGGCGGGCAAGATGCTGGAGCGCATCATTGCCGACCGCCTCGTCCAGCATCTGTCCTCGGAGGGGCCGGATCTCCACGACCGCCAATACGGGTTCAGGCCCGGAAGATCGACGTTGGATGCTATCCAATGCTTCCGGGACCTGACCCAGGCGGTCGTGGAGGAAGAGGGCGGGGTGTTGTTGGCGGTTTCGTTAGATATAACAAACGCCTTCAACACCCTGCCCTGGCCGGAGATTGGGCGGGCCCTCGAACACCACGGGGTACTCCGACGCATAATTTCAGCCTACTTCGGGGGCAGGGAACTCGCCTTCCCGGTAGAGGGCGGGGTCCAAGGCCGGCGCGCTATGGAGCGCGGTGTTCCGCAGGAGTCGGTTCTTGGCCCCCTGCTATGGAACATCGCGTTCGACCGGGTGCTGCGCACTCCGCTTCCCCCCGGTTGCCACGTTGTCTGTTATGCAGACGACACGTTAGTAGTAGCCGGGGGGAGAGTTGGGGGGAAGTCCGCCTCCTTGCGGAGACGGCATTGGTGTCGGTGGTGAGTACTATCAGAGACCTGGGTCTCAAGGTGGCGCCCAACAAGACCCAAGCCGTGTTTTTTCACGGCAAGGGTCGCAGGGCGCCGCTGGGGACCCGGGTTCACGTAGATGGAGTCCACGTCCGCGTCGGGCCGACGATGCGTTATCTCGGCCTGACGCTGGACAGTCGTTGGAGCTTCGGACCCCACTTTGGGGAATTGGCCCCCAGGGTGCGCAAGGCGGGTTTGGCTGTTGCCAGCCTGACGCGCACCCAAGGGGGCCCAGGATGGAGGGCTCGCCGCCTGTACGTCACGGCGGTGCTCTCGATCGCCCTGTACGGGGCGCCCATCTGGGCGCCACAGCTAGGGGCCTGCCGCGGCGGCAAGCGGTGTTAATCAGGGCGATTCGGGAGACCGTGTCGTACATGGCGGCGACCACCCTGGCCGGCGTCCCCCCTGTGGAGCTCCTAGTCAAGGAGCAGCATCTCCTTTACTGGAGGGTAAAGGAGCTTCACAGGGAGGGAAGAATGTCGGCCAGGGCCCTGAGGGGTCTGAGGCTCCAGGCCGAGGCCCGGACCCGGGAGAGGTGGGAGGACATACTGTCCGACCCCCGGGGTCCCGGGCCAGTGACGGTAGCGGCTGTCCGCCCCTGCCTGTCCGAGCTGACAGGCAGGAGGGGACGTGGATTATCTTTTCGTCTGGCGCAGGTGCTGACCGGGCACGGATGCTTCGGTCGGTACCTGCGCCGGATAAGGAAGGAGCTCACCACTCGATGCCACCATTGCCCCGCGGCGGAGGACACGGCGCACCACACCCTGGTCGCGTGCCCAGCATGGGCCGGGGAGCGCCGTGTCCTCTGCGGGGCGGTGGGATGCCGAGAGGGGGAGCTGTCGCTCCCGCACATGGTGAAAGCCATGTGCGGGAGCGAGGAGGGGTGGTCAGCGGCGGTCTCCTTTTGCGAGACAGTAATGTCCCAGAAGGAGAACGCCGAGTAGGGGCGCAGACCGTACCGGGGTTGCGGGGAGCAGCTCCCGGGCGGTTAGCGCCCCCACGGGGACGAAGGACGCGACAGCGGGCCCGGGGCAGCGCCGGCCGAGGAGGGCTCACAGACCCGCGAGGGTCGGGAGTCCCCTCGGCCGCCCCGGGCCCGACACCGGTCGCAAGGGGGGAGTAGGGAGGCGGCGAGACGCCTTCCCTGCCTTCCCTCCCCCAAGCGACCGGACAAGTAGGGACAGG